CGCAAAGTATGCAAATAGAATAAAGACAAAACAAGAAAAAAGAGAGAGAAAAAGAAAAAGAAAAAAAAAAGAAAAAGAGAAAGAAAAAAAAAAAATAATAAAATAAAAAAAATAAGATCTCACCAGCCAGTTACCGAATCCGTGTTTGCTGACTCCCTCAACGAATGCAAATATAATAAAAAAGACAAAACAAGAAAAAAAAACAAAATAAAATAAAGTAAAATAAAATAAAAATAAAAATAAAAAAAAAAAACCTCACCAGCCAGTTACCGAATCCATGTTTGCTGACTCCCTCAACGAGGAGCATTTAGAATAAAGGAGACAAAACAAGAAAAAAAAAAACAAAATAAAATAAAATAAAAAAATAAAAAAAAAAAAATAAATAATAAACAAAATAAACTCTCACCAGCCAGTTACCGAATCCATGTTTGCTGACTCCCTCAACGAGGAGCATTTAGAATAAAGGAGACAAAACGAGAAAAAAAAAAAAACAAATAAATAAAAATAAAAATAAAAAAAAAAAATAAAAAACCTCACCAGCCAGTTACCGAATCCATGTTTGCTGACTCCCTCAACGGATGCAAATACACTAAACAATACAAAACAAGAAAAAAATAAAAAACAATAAAAAAAACAAATAAAAAAATAAAAAAAAAGAAAAAATAAATAAAAAATAAAATAAACTCTCACCAGCCAGTTACCGAATCCATGTTTGCTGACTCCCTCAACGAATGCAAATATAATAAAAAAGACAAAACAAGAAAAAAAAAACAAAATAAAATAAAATAAAATAAAATAAAATAAAATAAAATAAAATAAATAAAATAAAAAACCTCACCAGCCAGTTACCGAATCCATGTTTGCTGACTCCCTCAACGAGGAGCATTTCTTCTTCTGCAGTCCAATCTAAACTAAAAACAGGAAACCTATTTCTGCCGACAGGTATATAAGAGTGAGTATTTTTATGTTGCTGCTTGCTGCTGCTGCTGCTGCTGCTGCTGCTGCTGCTGCTGCTGCTGCTGCTGCTGGTGCGGCCGCTGCAGAAGCAAGAAAGACATAAGTCGAAATCCTTACACTCAGCACAACGAATACGGAAAGACCCACTTATATCGGCCCCACAAACGTCGCAGTGAAAGCGTGCATGCAGAGAGAGGAGAGAGGAGAGGGCCCCAGGAGCAAGCTCCCCCTGCAGAGCTAGAGCTGCTGCCTGCTGCTGCTGCTGCTGCTGCTGCTGCTGCTGCTGTTGCTGTTGCTGCTGCTGGCCGTTCTCCACAGGAGGGAGCGACGCAGAGCATGCATCGTCAGCTCGAAGCCTCTTGGGGCTGCAACAAACAAAATGCATGCAATACACACACACACACACACACACACACACACATATATATATATATATATATATATATATATATACATACACACACACACACACACAGCTGCTGCTGCTGCTGCTGCAGTTGCTGCTGCTGTTGCTGCTGCTGATGATGTTGTGCTGGGTGGACGTATCCGGGTGGATGATGGTGTGCAGCAATTCCTCTTAAACCCTAAACCCTAAACCCTAAACCCTAAACCCTAGACTCTAAACCCTGCATGCATGCATGTCTGTACTTACCTTCTTTCTGCTCGTTCTCGCTGCATTTACTTTGGGGTTTTCTTTTGCTGCTGCTGAGACAGACAAACTGCGTCTCTCACTAGCTGACGCAACAGGGCGTGGGGCTCTAACCCTCCAAACCGCCCTAAACCCTAAACCCTAAACCCTAAACCCTGAAACCACGAAACCCTAGACCCTAGATCCATAGCCTCTCGCCACAAGCTGCTACCTCGCAGCCCCTCAAATACCCTCACCGTAAACCCTAAACCCTAAACCCTAAACCCTAAACCCTAAACCCTAAAGGCCGAGGCCGCAGAGCAGAGGAAAGAGAAATCCCTGGGGTGTACACGCCAGAGGAGGGGGTGATGCTCTGGTGTTATGTAGATTATGCATGCGCTGAAATAAAATAAAAACAAAAATTTAATTATTTATTTTGATGAAACAAAGACAGGTTTGTTTTACAGTGAAGCGTTTGCAGCAGAGGCCGTTGCATGCAGCCGTTTTGGGGCTGGGTTTTGTCTGTCTACCTGCGGCAACGAGAAAAAACAGCGAGTAATACATTTAATTAAAATATAATTATATTTTATTTTATTTACACTTTATACACTCTCCCCCTGGTATAGAGACGCCGCAGTGTACGCCTAGTTTTCGTGCGTCGCCTACCTCTCTTATGCATGCACTCGGTAGCCTGCATCTTGCTGCTGTAAACCCTCGCAATAAATAGTAAATACATCTGTGTTTTATTGTGTATTATAAACAAAGAAATACCAAAAAACATGTGTTCTTAATTTCATTCATTTTATAATATAAAAGTATAAAACAACACGCACACCGCAGGGCTTCACTGGCCCCATACAGCCCCCCCTTTTCTTTGCATGCACCGCCGCCGCCAGAGGTGCTCGCTGCAACAGCTGAGGCTCCTGGGGCTGGTTGAGGGGGCTTGGCCCGGTCGTGTGTCGCAGCACAACCTGGTTGGTGTGTTTCTCCCACCAACGGCTACACCGTATGCATGCACCGTAACCCCACTTACAGTGCATGCACGCGCGCTGCTGGCAGCCACTGAGCGTACACCAGGCTCCAGCGAGCCGGCATGCACACAAATGCTGCTGCGAAGGCTTAAAATTATCTGGAGTAGCTTTCTGTTTACAGTGTGCATATTGGGTCGAGTGATCACAGCCGGGCTCAGAAAAGTATAAGAAAAAAGGGGAGAGAGCCGGAGAGGAAGCCAGAACACAGAAAGCCGTGCGGGAACATACGGAACGGAACATTTGCTTTTGCGGCAATAAGCAAGATGAAGCCGTTTGAGATTACATGCGCATGAACAGGGTTGGGTTGCTGGAGAAGCAGGAGTTTCAGCAGTGTTGCTAGGGGAGAAATTGATGCGAGGAGGAAAACGCTACGGCCCCCACCCAGCATGCGGCGCAGTGAAGGGACCGATGGAGGTGATCTCCATACCTACAGTCTCCGCCCAACCCATGCTGCTTATGAGCTGTCGGCAGCTGAGAATGCTAGGTGGCGCAGGCTGCTAAGCGGACCTGATACCTGTGGCTACGTCGATGGAGTGCAGCATCGACCAAGGCAAACAGGAAGCGGAAGTGTATACCGCTGAAGCAAGGCTGTACGGTGCGCTACTGCCTGCTTGGTTGTGCAGTTTAGTAGAAGAAGCTAGCCGAAGCAAAAGCTGCTTGATGTCTCACCAGGCACCCGGCGTAGTCTCCAGTGCTCAAGCTCCGCGGATCCGAAGGAACTTTCTTCCTGAAAGCCGATGACGGTGACACACCTGGTGGGGTGATGATGCCACAGAAATCCAACGGCTCGTTGGTTGTCAGAGAGGCGCCAAGTACTCGCCTGCTATTCATACAACTTCGTGCATACCTGGGGAAGGGCTTTGCTGCCGGTAGTGATAGAAATGTTGTTACTCATGCAGGTACTGAGGAGGTTCGTACCGAGGTAGACGAGAGATGATGGACTAGCATTACAGCACGGACGGGGATACCGTGGGGTGCCAGACAACTTCTGAACTCCGCCGAATCTCCGTTCGAACTTTGCTTCGTACTGAAGCTTTCTGCAGAAAGTGTTCTATCCTCTCACTCTGCGGTCAACACCATGGTTAAGAGGGTGGCAAATCCCTCTTGGCGGCATAGGATGCATGCACTACAGATACCAGAGTGTCCCCGAACTTGCCCCAGCAGAGCTCACACTACACGCTCAGTCCAGGACTCTTTCAGAGTCCTCTAATTCCTAGGCGCATCTGGATAGATACTGAAATGTGTTTCATACTAGATTTACCGTCAAATCGTGATGATATTTTCGTTGCTGTGGATAAGCCCAGCAAATAGGAGCATTTCATCGCCTGCTCGCGTTTGGTGACAGCAAGGGCAAGGGTCCAATTATTTATTTATCACGTTTCTAAAAAATCACGGCTCTAAAAAGCACCATTACTGGCGGGGGGCTGAGGTCCGTTGACATGTTCTGCTGCTAGTCTATGAAGAGGGTTCACACTGACCAAAGGATGACCACCGCAAACCAGCCGGAGACAGCCGCCCAGGCTGCAAACATCAGCCGCACGCTTGTGCAGCACTTACAGCTCTACGCGCAGCCAAGTTCGTCAAATTACACCGTCCCCTTCCCTGTGCGGTATGGGTATATGTGAATTTCTGCCTGGGGACGAACAGTTCAAATCTTTTTTTTTTGAGGCTTGCGCGAAAAAGCTTCAGCAGGAGCATCTAATTACACTCCTTTGTCCAGCCCCGGCGGCTACAAGAGCTCCAGTGCTCAGCGCAGGTTACCTTTGTACCTGTTACAGCCGGTTGGCGACAATTCACTGTGTTACGAGAAGTTATTCTGCTACGTGTTAAGCTTCCCTCGTATCATCATATCTATATGGCCAACGGCAGTAATTTTTTGCTTCTGTGATATGCGCTCTTCCCTCTACCTATGGCCGCTCCGCACGGTCACTATTCTACACCCCTCATTGTGTTCATATTGCAGGGTGAGTTCACTCCTTCCTTTGCTCTTCAGTAGACCCCCTGGCGCACGCGTGTACCGATGGTCCGGGCTAGCAGGGGTTCACAACGTATTTAAATGCTCGCGATGGAAAGAGGCTCCAATTGCGCGCACAACGAAAAAAAAAAGGGCGCCGCTACGACCTATGGCAGGCGAATGCTGCAGCAGCCATACAGGTGTGGCAGCAGCAACAGCAACCAGAAGCAGCTTTAGCAGATTCCTCCAGCTACCTATCCCCTGATCATTTTCTTTCTTTCCGTCGTAAGCCTTCTGTCCCTCTGATGGCTCCATGGGCCCCTGTTCCACTCTTCCGCCCTTCTTTCCTTCTCTCGGCGCCCCTATCTCTTGCTGAGCGGCCAAAGACAAGGGGACGCACGCTGTCTGGGGAGGCTGTGGGGCGAAACCTTCTTGCGATAGTGCTTGGTACTGAGGGCCAGGTAGCTCTCTACAGTTGCATGCAGCATTATGCATGCACCAAGAAGTTTCTTAGGAACACCTGCCTGCGGGGGGTTGAAGCACGGTGTGCTGCGTGCAGTGCACGAGCACAAGACTGAGCAGTCTCGCTAGAGCTCCCAAGGTCTACTCTGCAAGGAAAGGTAAACAGAATATATTTGTAGAAATATTATTTGTTGTTTTATACTGGAGATGAGAACATACAGTGCTCACCAGCCTCCCGGGGTTGGGGCTGGCACGCCGGCGCCGCCGACGCGTGAGGGGTGGGGGGTATCTAGATCAGTGCTTTCTTTTTCTTTTTCCTTTCAGGAGATGATCTCTGGATAAAGTTTAAGTATACTACTTATATATATATTTATGTATTTATGTATTTGTTTACTGGGGTTTAATTTGGCGAATTCTGTTGGCCGCAGCACATAGGCGTAGAGTGGTGATCACCTAGTACAGGGGCACAGAGCCGTATCGGAGTAGCAGCTGAGCGAGCTGCTTAGTATACGCAGCTCATCAGCCCCTGTCTCTTCTGGCGCCAACACGGGGCCCTGTGCTGCTGCGCTCCCCCCAGCTGGAGACTAGAGAGGGGGGTAAAGCTGCTGCTCGTGGGGGCCCTGTGTATACACAGGTGTTGCTATGGGGGCACTCACGAAGTTTTTTTTTATAAAGACTGAGAAGCCCCATAGATTGCGGTGCATGCATGCAGACCCAGGTCACCTTCAGATGCATGCAGGAACACTGGAGACACTTGCTAAGAGTTTGATTGTTTCTATTAGCCAGATGTGTGCAGCAACAGAAATATATAACACCAGCTGTATACACAGCATATAAAAACTTTGTTGCTGTATATATATATATATATATGTATATATATATATATATATATATATATATATATATATATATATATATA